GTTTTCACAGTTTAGATTTCTTCCTAACCGTCTAGATTTCTTCCTGACCGTTTAAATTTTGTTTTCATCGTTTAGGTTTCTTCCTAATCGTTCAGATTTCTTCTCCGTTAATTTGTTCACGTTCAGATTTCTTCCTGACCGTTCAGATTTCTCCTTGACCGTTTAAATTTGTTTTCACCGTTTAGATTTCTTCCTAACCGTCTACATTTCTTCCTGAAAGTTTAAATTTTGTTTTCACCGTTTAGATTTCTTCCTAACCGTCTAGATTTCTTTTTGACCGTTTAAATTTTGTTTTCACCGTTTAGATTTCTTCCTAACCGTCTAGATTTCTTCCTGACCGTTTAAATTTTGTTTTCACCGTTTAGATTTCTTCCTAACCGTCTAGATTTCTTCCTGACCGTTTAAATTTTGTTTTCACCGTTTAGATTTCTTCCTAACCGTCTAGATGTCTTCCTGACCGTTTAAATTTTGTTTTCACCGTTTAGATTTCTTCCTGACCGTTTAAATTTTGTTTTCACCGCTTAGATTTCTTCCTAACCGTCTAGATTTCTTCCTGACCGTTTAAATTTTGTTTTCATCGTTTAGGTTTCTTCCTAATCGTGCAGATTTCTTTTCAGTTAGATTTGTTACTGACCGTTCAGATTTCTTCCTGACCGTTCAGATTTCTTCCTAACCGTTCAGATTTCTTCCTGACCGTTTAAATTTTGTTTTCACCGTTTAGATTTCTTCCTAACCGTTTAGATTTCTTCCTGACCGTTTAAATTTTGTTTTCACCGTTTAGATTTCTTCCTAACCGTCTAGATGTCTTCCTGACCGTTTAAATTTTGTTTTCACAGTTTAGATTTCTTCCTGACCGTTTAAATTTTGTTTTCACCGCTTAGATTTCTTCCTAACCGTCTAGATTTCTTCCTGACCGTTTAAATTTTGTTTTCATCGTTTAGGTTTCTTCCTAATCGTTCAGATTTCTTCTCTTCCGTTTAGATTTGTTACTGACCGTTCAGATTTCTCCTTGACCGTTTAAATTTTGTTTTCACCGTTTAGATTTCTTCCTAACCGTCTAGATTTCTTCCTGACCGTCTAAATTTTGTTTTCACAGTTTAGATTTCTTCCTAACCGTCTAGATTTCTTCCTGACCGTTTAAATTTGGTTTTCACCGTTTGGATTTCTTCCTAACCGTCTAGATTTCTTCCTGACCGTTTAAATTTTGTTTTCACCGTTTAGATTTCTTCCTAACCGTCTAGATTTTTTCCTGACCGTTTAAATTTTGTTTTCACCGTTTAGATTTCTTCCTAACCGTCTAGATGTCTTCCTGACCGTTTAAATTTTGTTTTCACAGTTTAGATTTCTTCCTAACCGTCTAGATTTCTTCCTGACCGTTTAAATTTTGTTTTCACCGTTTAGATTTCTTCCTAACCGTCTAGATTTCTTCCTGAAAGTTTAGATTTGGTTTTCACCGTTTAGATTTCTTCCTAACCGTCTAGATTTCTTCCTGACCGTTTAAATTTTGTTTTCACCGTTTAGATTTCTTCCTAACCGTCTAGATTTCTTCCTGACCGTTTAAATTTTGTTTTCACCGTTTAGATTTCTTCCTAACCGTCTAGATGACTTCCTGACCGTTTAAATTTTGTTTTCACCGTTTAGATTTCTTCCTAACCGTCTAGATGTCTTCCTGACCGTTTAAATTTGTTTTCACAGTTTAGATTTCTTCCTAACCGTCTAGATTTCTTCCTGACCGTTTAAATTTTGTTTTCACCGCTTAGATTTCTTCCTGACCGTTTAAATTTTGTTTTCATCGTTTAGATTTCTTCCTAACCGTCTAGATTTCTTCCTGAAAGTTTAGATTTTGTTTTCACCGTTTAGATTTCTTCCTAACCGTCTAGATTTCTTCCTGACCGTTTAAATTTTGTTTTCACCGTTTAGATTTCTTCCTAACCGTCTAGATTTCTTCCTGAAAGTTTAGATTTTGTTTTCACCGTTTAGATTTCTTCCTAACCGTCTAGATTTCTTCCTGACCGTTTAAATTTTGTTTTCACCGTTTAGATTTCTTCCTAACCGTCTAGATGACTTCCTGACCGTCTAAATTTTGTTTTCACAGTTTAGATTTCTTCCTGACCGTTTAAATTTTGTTTTCACCGCTTAGATTTCTTCCTAACCGTCTAGATTTCTTCCTGACCGTTTAAATTTTGTTTTCATCGTTTAGGTTTCTTCCTAATCGTTCAGATTTCTTCTCTTCCGTTTAGATTTGTTACTGACCGTTCAGATTTTTTCCTGACCGTTCAGATTTCTCCTTGACCGTTTAAATTTTGTTTTCACCGTTTAGATTTCTTCCTAACCGTCTACATTTCTTCCTGAAAGTTTAAATTTTGTTTTCACCGTTTAGATTTCTTCCTAACCGTCTAGATTTCTTTTTGACCGTTTAAATTTTGTTTTCATCGTTTAGATTTCTTCCTAACCGTCTAGATTTCTTCCTGACCGTTTAAATTTTGTTTTCATCGTTTAGATTTCTTCCTAACCGTCTAGATTTCTTCCTGACCGTTTAAATTTTGTTTTCACCGTTTAGATTTCTTCCTAACCGTCTAGATTTCTTCCTGACCGTTTAAATTTTGTTTTCACCGTTTAGATTTCTTCCTGACCGTTTAAATTTTGTTTTCACCGCTTAGATTTCTTCCTAACCGTCTAGATTTCTTCCTGACCGTTTAAATTTTGTTTTCACCGTTTAGATTTCTTCCTAGCCGTTCAGATTTCTTCCTGACCGTTTAAATTTTGTTTTCACCGTTTAGATTTCTTCCTAACCGTCTAGGTTTCTTCCTGACCGTTTAAATTTTGTTTTCACCGTTTAGATTTCTTCCTAACCGTCTACATTTCTTCCTGAAAGTTTAAATTTTGTTTTCACCGTTTAGATTTCTTCCTAACCGTCTAGATTTCTTCCTGACCGTTTAAATTTTGTTTTCACCGTTTAGATTTCTTCCTAACCGTCTAGATTTCTTCCTGACCGTTTAAATTTTGTTTTCACCGTTTAGATTTCTTCCTAACCGTCTAGATTTCTTCCTGACCGTTCAAATTTTGTTTTCACCGTTTAGATTTCTTCCTAACCGTCTAGATTTCTTCCTGAAAGTTTAAATTTTGTTTTCACCGTTTAGATTTCTTCCTAACCGTCTAGATTTCTTCCTGACCGTTTAAATTTTGTTTTCACCGTTTAGATTTCTTCCTAGCCGTTTAGATTTCTTCCTGACCGTTTAAATTTTGTTTTCACCGTTTAGATTTCTTCCTAACCGTCTAGGTTTCTTCCTGACCGTTTAAATTTGGTTTTCACCGTTTGGATTTCTTCCTAACCGTCTAGATTTCTTCCTGACCGTTTAAATTTTGTTTTCACCGTTTAGATTTCTTCCTAACCGTCTAGATTTCTTCCTGACCGTTTAAATTTTGTTTTCACCGTTTAGATTTCTTCCTAACCGTCTAGATTTCTTCCTGACCGTTTAAATTTTGTTTTCACCGTTTAGATTTCTTCCTAACCGTCTAGATTTCTTCCTGACCGTTTAAATTTTGTTTTCACCGTTTAGATTTCTTCCTAACCGTCTAGATTTCTTCCTGACCGTTTAAATTTTGTTTTCACCGTTTAGATTTCTTCCTGACCGTTCAGATTTCTTCCTCACCGTTTAGATTTCTTCCTGACCGTTCAGATTTCTTCCTGGCCGTTCAGATTTGTTTTTTACCGTTTAGATATCTTCTTGACCGTTTAGAATTGTTTTTTACCGTTTAGGTTTCTTCATGACCGTTCAGATTTGTTTTTTACCGTTTGATTTCTTCCTGACCGTTCAAATTTCTTCCTGACGGTTCAGACTTCTTCCTGACCGTTTACATTTCTTCCTGACCGTTTACATTTCTTCCTGACCGTTTAGATTTCTTCCTGACCATAGAGACATTCCAACGCTCACATGACTTCAACCAATGGACCATAGAGACATTCCAACGCTCGCATGACTGACTCTTGTGATCTGACATTCTAAACGAAAACTAACAATCTAAACGGTAAAGAAGAAATCTAAACCGTCAAAAAGAAATCTAAACGGTCCAGAAGAAATCTGAACAGTCGAGAAGAAATCTAAACGGTCAAGAAGAAATCTGAACGGTCCAGAAGAAATCTCAACGGTAAAGAAGAAATCTGAACGGTCAGGAAGAAATCTAAGCGGTGAAGAAGAAATCAAGAAGAAACCTGTCAAGAATTAATGTTAACGGTAAATTTGAAGCCAGCGACTCGTGGGTTGAAGTTTTAGACCAAAGTTCCAAAGTTTGGTAAATGTCAGATCTGCGGTAATCTTTAAGCTTACGCCAGTGCCGTTAAAGTAATGTCTACCATTAGGGCCGATTTCTCCTGTTGTGTTCACACTCATGAGTGTGAATGAATTCGTTCCCAATTTCAATCGCACGGGACGGTGGGTGCAAGTTTTAGACAATGTATTTGCATTTGGGAGGTCAAATCGAAGAGCCAACGGCGTCTTTTAATCGCTTAGCTGCATTTACATATAACCTATTTCTAAAAAGATTTAACAACAATTCGATGCTTATACAGAGTTAATTATTAATACAATACCATACTGTAAGCTGTAGTGTAATGGTACTATATTTTAGTCCGATGAGGCACTGCACTGCACTAATATCAACTCAGTTTTTCTTTTCCATCCCGCGCTGGTATCCTTCCCATGCTATTTAGTGTGGTAGGGATACGAAGCGGGAATCAAATTTTTGGTGAAGTAATTCTGAGTCAGTAGTACAATGCACTACAGCCTACCAGCGTCTTCACCTGCGCCGACTGTTACCATGCTTGCACTAGAAAGCAAATCTGGTGTACCACAAGAGTAGAGTTTACGTTGCATTGTCGTCTCTCAGGATGAGTAGTCTGTATCTAATATCATATTAGTAATATGACAAACTAAAATTGATGCGTACGTTGATTGTGTGCCCAAACGAATAAGTAAACAAAACCAATTAGCAACCACAAATAAATTACTCTTAATTCCGGAGATATGACTTTATTACGCAACCTGGACAAAACTTACAAATTAGTTATATTAGACTGGAATACATAGTTAACAAGGGACGCGTTCACGATATACATACTCACAACGGAAGAATTGGACACGGGGAGTGGAGAAGCTGGATCAAGGCAAGTGTAGCGCTGTATTTTAACAATTAAATAACCACACCGCTGACTTGGCTGGTACAAAACATTATGAAATTTTTGATAAATATAAGAATTTTCTTGCTCTTAGTGCCAATGTTTGGGTGCATTGTCGTAGGTATATTTCAATCTATACGCTTCCGCAACTATTAGGCCTATATCTGCACTGTCCCAGTTTTGTGTTGGTAAGTTTTGTAGAAGGAGCAGCAATCCCTGAAAACAATCAAATTATGCAAAGTATTCTTTAACCACTTCACCCCTGAGAGACGAATATTTTCATACCTTTCACCCCTAGTAACGGCGAATTTTTTCTTCCCTTGACCCCGAAATTTTCACCTACTGCGTGACGTTAATTACTGGGAGATGAATTGAAAAATGGTGTTCCCACCGGAATTATTCTGGACACTTTTTTATGAAAGTTGATGCGAATAACCATTTGGGAACGGATTTTGAATTGTAATTTGCCTTTGTGCATTTTTGCGAACCACTAATGTAGCCGAAAATAGCCAACACGCCGAATTTAAAAATGATTGTAATTGCATGGAAAGTTGCACAAACATTGATTAATACGTGCATAATAGTACATATATATTCGCAAAAATCGATTATCGCGCCCCAAGGGCCCCAGAAGCCGATTTTAGCGGGAAAATTAAACATAGCAAATATGGCTTTCAATTCATGACATTGGCTTTAAATAATTTTGTAATTAGACTAAAATGTGTAAAAATTGCTTCTTGTAGATTTAACATGCATAGAATTTACGCATACTTAGGGCGGGAAAACAAACGTTTTCTTACAGTGACTTAAAATTGATAGCAGTGTTAATGAGTAATTATAGCATCAACTGTTCGAAACCATACTTTAGCGCATTTTGAATATAACTCAATTTTAACGGGAAAATTATATGCTACTTTCCAGACAATCTCTTAATTTTCCCGCCCAACGAGATTTCATCGGCTCCAGTGGTTAGTTTTCCCGCCAAAAATGTTGTTCGGACGTTCTAAATCCGAGAAAAACAATTTCACTAATTTTATCTGAAAGTGCTGTTGAAATATGGGACGAAAATTCCATGCAACAGCAGTTTTCAAAACTGGGCGTGTTAACTAGAAATAGCCAGTTGGCTATAAATTGTTTTTACCTCCATTTATAACTTTGGTTCCGAAGAGGCAATTCATCTTCTCGCCCAAATGGCGGATTGTTGACTCAAAACTATACTTGGAAGAGCAATGACCTATTTTTTTTCTGGATACGACACATAGTCGTATGCCGGTGGGAACGGAAAATACGCCACATAGTCGTTTCCGTTGTCAAGGGTCAATACGACACATCGTCGTATTTCGGAGCCAAGGGAACTTACGCCACATAGTCGTATTCGGCGTAAAGGTCAAATACGCCACATAGTCGTTATAGGGGCGAAGTGGTTAATTTAAATTTGTGCGTGGTTGATTTAAGGGGGATGGCTTGTATTTGTATATGAATGTTGGTTAAAGTTTTAAGAAATCACGTTTCGTTAAAGTGAATATGGTTGCATTTCCCACCTGAAAATCCCTTTGCCTTAGCAACTGCTCTCTCCAATGTCCCAGGAAAGCAGCACAAACATAAATTAGAATTGAGCCACACCCGTCCGGCTCTGCGAGGTAGGTATCCCACAATCTGATGGTGCATCGGAGTGGCAACTCTCGCATGAGGAGATTATTCATCCAGCGGAAGGAGAATTGGAGGTAGTCGATCTCGTGGCGTTGAAGGTGGATGTGTAAATCGGCTAAAGCAGAAAATTATCAAGTCATTGCATAATTGTGTAAGGAGAAAATTTCTCCCATTTAACATCGCTCTCGTTTTAATAAATTTCAGTATAAAACTGTGATTTCAAATTATTTATGTAACCATACTTTGGATGGCTAACTTACAGTCAATCCGTTCCGTGAGCTCTTTAAGCTTCTTAACTTTTTCCTGAATTCCGGTCTGGGCGAAAATATAATTTACTTGAATACTATCTAAAAATTTGGACATGCACCAGTATGAATCCGCCTCGATGTTGTTTCGTTCTTCTTGTGGGAGGTTTCCGACTTCAAATGTTTCAACTTCGACAGCTATACAGGAAAATAAAACAAGGCATAATGTGTATGTGTTAATGCTTATGTGTAAACATAAAATTTTACGGTCGCTTTATTGACATTGGTTCTTACAAGGGGGTAACACTTGCTCGAGAAAGACGACGAAAAATGGGGTCACCAGATCGTTCATGCCTTGCACATAGCCAGACGCCGGGTGACGGATGGCCCAGATAAACAAAATCCTTTCGAATATTTCTTGAACAACGGTTTGTTGAAAGAGAGAAATTAGTGGGCACATTCTTGGAATATCGATATGAATCTGAGGGACCAGAAAATTGAGTACGTAAATTTGCATGCATTTTATTATCTTTATTAGTTGGACCACCTGACGAAACGTGTCTTGATGAGCTTCATCCTTTCTGGAATCGTAATATTGCTGCACACAATTCCAATATTCTTCCCGTTTTCGTTCCAAGACTTGTTTCCGTCGCTCCATGTTGGCTGGGAGATAACCCTGCAGGAGAGGCATTAGTACAATTAAATACAAAATATTCACTTAATTGGAATAATAATTGGAATTAATGTAGCTTACCGCAAGAATTTGCCACGTCGTGCCACGTACTGAACAAGGAAGCCCGGAGTAGCTAAGGGATTGTAAGGCTTTCAGATCTGTACTGTTTGGACCCTCGAGTAAATTGCGAATTTTGTCTGCTTTGGCTCTCTCACCTTCAGTTTCTGGAAAGAAATTTACATAATTTATTTACCATAAGTAAGTACTAAGTGTGCTATGCGGGACTTGAGTAAACCGTGTTTTTGGGAAACAACGAGAATATATGTGTACAAAATAGGGACTGGTGTTGGTCTACTTGCCACCCACAAGACTTAATTTGAGAGATTTTCATTTGATTTCTATGCTTTGAGTTAATATATTGGGGTGAATATTGCTTATCCAACTAATTGATGTTCGCTTACCCGTCCTCGTAATAACTTTTGGCTTCCCGGACACTGATTTTGGCAACTTGGCCGAGGACGGGGGACTAAAGTCATTGTCAGATATGGAAGTTCGGACGACAAGGGATGGATTCAATGCTAATTAAAGAAATAGTAAATGGTCATCACTAAAAATTCAATATTTTTGTAAATAATCCCTCACGTTGAATTTGTCCTTCTAACTGTAACTTGGGAATCTGCTGCCGACCTTCCTCCTTATCTTCCACTAGGATAACCGTGTCACTGGCGACAACTTTATCATCTCCTGAGATGAGATGGTTTTGATGAACTGCGGGCTGCGTGGTGAAAGAATTTCCTCCGATTCGATGACTATTTATCACATTTAGTGCTGCAGACTGAGAAACCTTTTTGCTAATTCGAATTTCTGCATAGATAATAATTCAAAATCACAATAATTAAAAATATGACTGCGACCTGTTGACCTACTGACCCGACGTCATCACGCTGAACTCGTCATCTTCAATGTCCCACGCATCACGGACACTGTCTTGGAAATCTTGGAACGACGAGGGCCCTCCTCCCTTCACTTTACTCGTCCAGGTCAAGCTCTCCTTGTGTGGACTTGGCCTATGCAAAAATTTACATATTTTACACGAAAATAGTTAATTATTGTCGTCAACTGAATACCCACCTTCCAGGCACCGTTTTACTATTCTTCTTCCAGAAAGACATGGCATTAACATTGTCGGTGGAATGTCCACCACTTCCGCCCCCACTGCTACCCCCACCACCACCTCCCTTATTGTGGTGATTCTCCATTCCTAATAACACTACACTGATTCTTTTACTAATAAGTGTCACAACGTCTCCTTTACACCGGGTTTCATCATGACGACGAGAACAACGAGGGGACACTCTTACTCCTCGTAGTCGATAATGGGTGGCCAAAAATACGGACGGATGGATTCAAATGTTCTACTTTCTCTGTGCAAATCCTTGTAATTTTTACCATCTCGTCACAAATGTAGTTGAACTTCGCGGCAGAGTATGTATTTACCTTAGTTGGGAAACATGGTTCATGAATCGTGACCAGAAAAGTGGGCAAGAAATGGTCACACCCACTTCCAGCCCATGACGGCGGCATATGTCATCTAAACTAAATAATTAAACCATGTATTCATAATTAATTAAGTAATTAATGTCGCGGCCCTGAGCGACCCATTGTGAATGAGATATATATGAATGACCTTTGACCTAATATGACCCGATATGATATGCAGGTAAGATTTGTCTCGAAATATGTGGACCCTCCGAGTGAGGCGAAGATCACGTCCTTTTGCTAATGTGGGAAACATCTGATCGACGTGCATGATTCTGACAGTCTGCTGTTTCCTCCACTTTTGACTTTCTTTTACGGTCTTGGGATATTTATATTTCCGAAATTTCTCACCTCCTCCTTGCCGTGATGTGCATTGTGGGTAGGAGTGGGCGTGGATGTGGTGGTGGTGGTGCTCAGTCATTAGTTAGTAGATGTGTAGAGAAAATTATTTAACTAGTCAGGTAAATTTTTGCTAGTCAAGGAAACAAGTGACTAGTCAAGGAAAGTAAGAGTATTAAAGTGCAACGGATACAGAAACGGAAGGAAACTAATCACCAGTACAATCAAGAAAAACCGACTTCGATCAGCCGGACTCTGACCAAGACGGGTACTTAAGATTGATTTTTAAATTGTATTGTACCTTATTTTAAGTAAAAAAAACCGCTTATTTGGTAGTTAAGCTTTGAGTTACAAAATACTTTTATAGTGGTCGCAATTCTTTCCAACTTTTAAGATATCTTAAAATCGCAAAAGAATGTGTGGATTTATAAAATTTATTTAACATTACATATTTAATCAGGAATGGATTAAACTTTATGTGAAATGGGTGCATTAATTTTTTTTATTTAGTGTCGCTTAATATTTCGATTATTTATAAGTTTATTTCTTGTTATAATTATTTTTCTTGTTCTGTTAGCTCTACATTATTCGCATAGCTGTTGAAACCTGGTGGAAACGGATTATGTTTTTTTATACTAATTAACACATATTTACATTCTGTTGTGTTTAATAATATGTTCCCCGTCAGACTAACAAACTACATGTCACATCATTATTTGTGTAACTAATAAATTCGTTGTTGTTATTGTTAATTTTGCTGACAAAATTAAGCACTTTTTGTTAATTTAAAATTATTTGCATATGTAATAATAAATGTCATGGGTATGCTGGCCTTTTTACACATATTCCTTAATATGAAAATTCCTGCAGTTTTACAAATTGATGCTCATTCAAGTTTTAAATCGAAATTTGGTGCACTTTTCCATAATGAAATTTTACTGAGTTGCAAATTATATTTAACAAGTTATCAATTCTTGACCATAATTAAATCCAAATATTGTCCACTTAAATGTGAGTCCCAACATGGGAAGGGTTCCTTTCCATCTAATGCATTTATTGACACAAGTTATTGACATATCACTATTTATTTACATTTCATGCTTATTTGACATGTTTATTTATTCTTCTTCACTTTCCTTGCGTGGAGTGTTACTGTGTACGCATGTAAAATATGTGAGCTGTTGTTGGGCTGGCCAATAAGGTCAATTGCATACTTGGCTGCACTATCATATGTATATACGAAAGTGTGAGAACTGATAAGTACATAATTGTCCCGATAAGGGAATTATTTCACGGAGGTTGGTACAGTTGTCCTTGAAGTAACGAAGAGAATAGTTAATAACTAAATCCAGCGTTTAATTTAAACTCTCACATACGATAAAACTCATGGGTCACGGGAGCTATAATTCCATACCGCATCAAGTATATACATACATATTTAGCGACCCTGATAACGTGTCCACCTGGGAAAAAATATTCAACAGTGGACAGTAAAATATTTGCATATGTACACAAAAAAAGTGTCAATTGCCACATTCCAGTAATATCAATTGACTTTGCCCATCAATCATTAGGTTGGTTATCCATTAAGCTTTTTTTAATGAGGGGAAGCTCGCAGCTGAAAATAATGTTTAGAATTATGGATCGTTAAAATAAAATGGCATAAAATTTAAATACATTGCAGCCGAGTTGAGATCTTTAATTATATCGTTCGTTAAAACTCTCTCTCCGCTCTCTAATAATGCTCAGGCGATCGTCCTAAACCGTGTTCAGACCGCTTCTAATGACGACTTAAACTTCCGCACTTGATCGGCTCAACAATTTTCGAGTTAAAAGTGGCGTTTTAAATTTGAGGTATTCCAGGCTGGACAATAAGTGTGAGTGAGTGAGTGAGTGCTGTTCGTTCTGAATATGAAATACTGTGAAAAGTTGACATTGTGCAGTGTAAAATTTTATATGAATTTTCTTACTTTGTAAAGTTTTTCATGAGTTTTTTGGATTTTGTTGTTTGAGTGATGCAATCGATCGTATTGTGTCATTAATTAGTTTTCTACCTTGAGCACTTCTTGGGTGCAATTGCAGTGCAAAAATTTGATAGAAGAAAACAGGTACTCAATTTGTATCTTAATTTTTGTATTTTTGTGAAAAATTAAGTGATTCAAAACAATGATGATTTAATTTTGTTCTGAAATTCAGTATACATGCAGTTTTGCAATTGCACGAAATACATGTTTTCATACATGGGTGAAAATGCATGGGCATTGTAGCAAAACTCAAAATATGGAATCTATAGGGAACAAGGCTTGTTCAACAAGCATACTTGTCGAGATTTGATAATCAATTGAAAATTCGAGACATTACTTTGTATTTTAACATTTATCCGAGCTTTGAAAACTTGTGTAATTCTGTGTGATAAATCATTCCAACGTCATACAATGCTGAATTTCGCCCACTTCCTACTGAATTTGTAAATCAGTGCTTTACAGCTTGTATAAAGAAGCTACTTTATGATTTCTTTGGAAACCATGAATATACTGCACACCATGCACAGCTAGATCATGAAATTAAATAGACGGGGAAAGTAGCTTGAGCAGTGCGTTCTTGGTAATCTGTGAGCAGTATTTACTAATTTTGGGTGTTGGAGTTGCCCACATTGCGGAGAGGTAGCGTTCCCAGTACTCGAGAGGTTTCGTCTCCAGAGGAGAAACTCGACCGGATGTAAGAGTGCGTATCGTGATGAAAGTTCCAGGCTGGAGAAAATTTCGGGATGATGATGACTTGTGCACACACGAGTCCGGCGAGTTTATCGTGATGCACAGCTTGTTGGCATGCACATTACTTACTCACTTATTTACTACTTGCCATGCATTCGCTGAGGGGGCCGTGCGGGGGAGACCTCGCCCTCCCTCTCCGCTTGACACGAGGAGACAAAATGGGATGACATCCCCTCCGCACGGCCCCCCGCAGAGAGAAACAACATCCATTTTCATCCGCATTTAAATAATTTACTACTGCGTGCCCACTAACTCCTCGAGTGATAAGTCAATGATGATGGTGCTGGAGTTCATCTTATTTATTGAGGGAGAAAGCAAACGGGGGGAGAGACAGCTCGGATGCACACCCATCTTTCTCCCTCACCAAAAACTACTCTTTTCCAGCTAATGGGGAAAAATGGGCTCTTATTCGATGAGATTTGTGAGGTCAGCAGGATACTTTTTACATGGGGATACAATTTGTAAGACCATTTGAGTAGTCCAAAATGGCCCATTTTTTTGCCAGAAATTCAAATTTCCCCCCTTTTAAGTAATCCCTGTAAAACAGGGTGGAGAATGTTCAATTTGTAATGCAAATTAAGCACATCAAACGTGTATCCATGGTTATGATATCTGTGCTAAATTGACAATTTCACCTCGTTTGGTTCGTACCCAGTGGAAGCTCATGCGACTCAGGGTGGGTTTGTCCATTCATGCGACTAACATGGAGTTTGTTGAATTATGTAAGGTTTTTTTAGTGAAGAGCAGAGATAATGAATTTATTCATTTTTGAGGAATCCAGTTTTTAGTTGATTAGTATAGTAAAGATGCTTTCTATTGATGTGTTATTACTTGTAAACCAGTCTGATCCAGACTGAATGTGACTAACACTTGAATAAAAGTAAATTGAACTTGGAGAAGGGCCATAAAACAGCCTCCCTGACCTGACTTGATCAAATCGGACCAGATGGTCAGGTCAGATAAGTAATTACTTATCTGAGAGTATTTACTCTCACATGGCAGAAGGGATGCTGGCCACGAGTAACGATGTCAAGTATGATGACCGATTCAGAGGTCCCTGCACATCGAACAAGGACGACGTGACGATACGACGAGAGACGGACATGTGTCTCCGCCAGAGCACGGTGCATGTGCGACTGGTCGTTGGAAGTAAAGTCGTCCTTATGCGATGGAGTTGGACGGAATGTGGATGAATGGTTTTCTGGCGTTGCAAATATTTGGGATCCACAAATTCACAAGGGTTCATCCATCTCAAGAGATTTTATTGTGGCTGTTGAGCAGATTTTTAGTGTCTTTCCACATCCCGTTTTATCCCCCTCTTTATACTTCCGAGCTGTGGGAATAATGTGGCCACCGAGGACGACGAAGGATGATTTCCACTCAACCGTATGGGTGAGTGGAAATTGGGCGGAATTTTGGTCAATTTCGACCGTATGGCGGTATGGCGACCTCTGGATTTTTCTGAACAAGGTACAAAATGTACTTAATTCTTACTTTGCTTCCAATGGGCGAAATTGATGGATAAGGAGACGCTAGTCCCGCCTTCGCCTCCCAGAACTAAACTGGCTGCCATCCATTTCATTCGCCTCATTTTCCCCGACTCATTATTACTCTGGATTAGAATCTCTGACATATGTGCTAGGTGTCCTCATGCACCTCACCACTTTGGTGGATTTCCAGGCGGAATGTCCCCTCTTTCCTGGCGTTCCATTCCGTCCTCGAAACCCTGGTCGCACTGCAGCAAGACTGACTGCGATGGGGGGAACATTAAGCGGGTGCGATGTGAGAATAAAACTTTTGTGTCTGCCTCGGAGCGATACTTGCCTTCATTTTCTCCCCATTCTTCTTCCTCTCAAATCAGATTGCCGGATACAGCGGCAGCCACAATTCCTTCAAATCAAAAATATCCTCGCCTCCTTCTTTCTCCCTCCTCGTCCTGAGTGTCGAGGTCCAGCCGAGGATGGGCCTTGTCGTCTAATTCAGTCACTCGGCCACACGTACTTTTGCTACCACGTGCAAAGTAGTATGCATGTGAGTTTCCTCGACTCATGCTAATAGTTGCAAATTGTGAGTGTAATTTGAGGCAAGTCGAGACAACTTGCATCGCGTCGTGTCCCTAGTGAACAGTAGTGTGTATGGGGTGAGGAAATGCCTGGAAGAATAGGAAACCAGCCAGCACCACGACGGCATCCGCCTGGCTTTCTCTTCCCCTTTGTCACGAGAGCCGCTTCGTATTCCTGTCTCAATTTTATGCGATTTTGATGTTTTCACATCCGGAGGCAATTTGTTCCCTCTTTGACATCAGGAAAAAACGAGTAACAAATTTCTTCTCGTGCTGATTTCTCAGACCATTCAGCTTAGCTTGTTACGAGGAAGAGCAACTGCCACATTAGAGAAAGTGAAAACGACTGCATTGGAAAATTGGAGTAAGAAAAAAATGGGTGAAATTTCCACACATTTTTCTCCCCAGAATTTATTCCGACTAGGATTTTGTGCTCATTTGGCAGAGCAAAGAGAACGCGGCATGTTGAGCAGTGTGGAATGGCGATACTGGTTTCAGACTGCAATATGGACGGAGGGCCATGCAAAGATACATCTCAGTCCGAGGAGAAAATAATGTACTTTGGCTCCTCTGACCGGAAAAGTAACCTCATTTTCAACAAATGAGTGATTATCGCCAGATTCCGCCAGGGTGTCGCTGGACCCCACGGGCACTGAAACTGAGGTGGATGACATGGACAGGAGAGCATAGGAGGGACGAAAAGGGCTAAATTTACGACTTTGTTATGCCAGCGTCCGGACTCGAAACCGCAACGTCTTGATTCAGCCTCAAGCGCCCTACCATTCAACTAAATACGACAACATTCCATAGCTTCCTACTGCCTTTTCCCAACTGGTCTCCTACCCTTCGTGTTTCTCTCAAAAATAGGACACTCCACTCATCGAATGGTCACCCATGCACTTTCCTCCAGAAGAATCAAGGGGTCGATATACTATCAAGGAATTATTCTGACCTCATTGAGACCACTTTTGTGACACAAATGCTCATGGGATCATGGCTAACAAAATTGCAAGGGACATTTTCAGGATTTTTTTAAAATTTCCTTTGTGACTGACGAATCGTCAGTGACGATGCCGAGGTGTTAGTCAAGTCCTCGAGATCTGAAGGGTCATAAATTGCCAAAAAGTGAGCTAATTATGGGAACCCTGTGCATGCGGCTGAGACTCTTAGCATCCGCAACCCATTTGCACAAATGGGACTAACTGACTCGTCCTTCTTTCTGGGGGTGGTGATTCCGTCGTCGTGCTGAGTGAGTTGCCGGACAAAAAAGATTTCGATCTGGAACAAAAAGTCCGCTTTGTGGGTGAAATGAACGAGTAGATTGTCCAGAGTTTTTTCGCCGCTCATTTATTCCCTGGTTCAATTTATTCGTGTGTGGTTTTGGGTGGAGATTACCATCCGATAGTCCACTTTCTCCCTTCCTTGTGACACGCCATGGCACCTCGGGCCTGTTCCATGTGGCGGAATGAAGTGGGCCCCCCACTCTCTCTCTCATTCTTCGGGGTGGGACCCCACACCACATTTCCGACTGGTTTGGGGACCAGATGCCCAAGTGGGTACACTATGAAAACAGTATGAGTGTCATTTCCTCGGTGGGATAAAGCCCATCCAGGGGACGAAACCCTGGTCTTGGTGGGTTTGTCCACGAGTAAAATATGTCGTGTCTCTCTTCCAACCAAGTGATGAGGGTCGTGGTGGTGGTGAGAGGAGCTCGGACGGACGGACTCTGTGGAATTATCTCTCCGCTGGCTGCATGCCCTTTAATGAGCACTCAGAGATATTTATGTGCATATATGTTGCTCGATCCGTACTTCACATTGACGTCACTTCTGATTAAGTCCGAGTGGGACAAAGGGGAGCAAACCAAATCCAAATCCCATTCGTCCAACCTAATGACATGCAGTTCCTGTCGGGAAATGTAGAGAGGAGAAAATATTTTTCTCTTGTTTTGGCACAACCATGTGCCAATTCCTATAATAGCCTCTCATCCTCCTCCTCCTCGTCCTTTCTCCCCAATCATACCCAACCACCACTCACTGATTTCCTCACATCACTTGGATTGGATCGAGAATTTTGAGATACGTCAAATGGCTGGAACATGTAAAGCGGAGAACCATGTGACCCCACCCGTTACCTTAAACATTGAGCACAACCCAGTAAAACTCCGGGGTAGTGATTTTTGAGGTAAAACCCCGAGTTTTTCCTAACCCTGTAATGAGCATGATGAAACTTGTATCGTAATTTTACTCCTAATTAAGACATGAAATGAAGTGAGAAATTGGAGAAATTCTTATTTGGCAATCGATAATTCGTGCTGTGCACACGTGACAACGAATGCCAAAATTTAGTATGCCCAAGTCATATGGATAAACGTGGATTATTAGGATGAATAAGTGATCCCTTGGTCACCTACATGCACGCAAAACTGTACGAGTAGAAGTGGTGCAAAATCACACTTGTAAGTTGTACGGCAGGCAGGGAAACCTGGGCGGAAAAGCAGGGCAAGTTTGGCTTTCTCCTTTTGCCGTCTGGTTTAGTTCTTGCTTTCTTTTTGGCATGGGAGGAGGGAGGCAGGAGCGAGCGAGAGGAATGATCATGCATGAGTGGATAAGGAAAGAGTTTTAATTTTCTTGTTCCCTTGAGATAATTTGCAATTAATATGCAATGTGAGAAGCGTTTATTTCCATCTTGCATAATGCTCAAAACTACCAAGAAACTCTACCAGAGCCACCAACAGGGTTTCCACATCCCCGCTTCTGCAACATTCTCAAAATGGATCTTTACTGCCTATCCGCACTGATAAAATGTGCACAAAGTCAACGGGTCAGTCTATTCGTCCCGTCCACCAGGGGTAGGAACACAGGCTTAACATATGTATAGACAGAAACGAATTTCTAGCAAAAAACGATACATTTTTAAGTAGGTTTTTCATTCCTCAACCTTTATGAACTGCGTAAATTTTCCACTCACCACAAGTAAGAATCTCCTTGCAAGGTACAGCGATTTGCAAAGCTTGGGGTCCAGTGGGTGAGGAATGCTCAGCCACTGGACTCGTTCGAAGAGTGTCCTCAGTGAGGGTACTTACAGTGAGGAAAACAAGTGGTGGTGAAACGGGAGCTTGGGCACCCTAGTCCCAAAAGTACTACAACAACTGCTCTGGCTTTTGACTCGCACTGCATAAAGTAGCGTAAAGTGAGGTCGTGAAGTTGGGGAAAGTAAAAGTTGGGGAGCGGGGAGAATTGTGTGGTTTGGTTTTCCTTCATGGACTACTTTCTCCTTTGGCACTGCTCCCACCACACTTTCTCCGTGACGTAGGCTACATACTTTCACCGCGTAATCGACGACCCTCCACCAAACATACACGTCCGAAAACATTGATTCAAACCTGTTCCCCTTCCAAGATTAAGATTTATTCGTTTCCCCTCCTCCCACCACCGCCACCGCCGCCGCGACGAGTTCCATTTCGGATGAGCCCGATGCGACAAAAGCCAAACACTGCACACACACACAACACTTGAACTCTGCTGGTGGGGTTCATAAATACATGTGTCATGTCATTCCAATTAGCGTCGCCCTGCAGTGTTCCACCCGTTCGGGCTGATTTATAGTGACGCGGAATGGAATGTGACCTATCGAGTAGGCTGGTAGTAGGCTCCCCAACCTGAGAAGGCAACGTGGGAATGGCGGATGCTAAAAACCAACCTATGAATCACGGCAAGTGGGTGAAATCATTGGGCAGAGAGAGTTTATCCCAGAGACGAAATTATTCTCGAGCTGCCTCCTTCCGCCGAGTTTTCTGCCCATTTCTCCCCCTCGGAAACCAGAGCGACATCCATGCTCTGCAGGAAGGGATGAATGAAATTGGGCGGCCTGGTTCCTCCCAGAGTTTACTTATTTATTTATTCATGCCCCAACGAAACCCTTATGAAAACTGGATCGCATTTTATTCTAAAACTTTTGTTTGTCAAATCTCCAATGAGCAATAAACATCGGGGCGAGAGTGCCGACGAAACTTTAAAGTGTCGCCCAATCGAAAACTTGGAGCCGGAGGAAAACTTTCAACTTTTCCACTGTGCCCAACTGTCGGGACACTTTATCATTATTTGCACCGACGTTTGCGAACAAAGCCAAATAAATATTTCAATTATGTTTTTAAACTTTTTCCTATCTGGCTAACTGTGGAGGGAGCAGAGTTGTGCTTGAGTAGATATATGTACATATACATCCGAATCGGTTGGGTTAGGTGAGCAAATTCGCAAATTAGCAGGCCTTGATTAGATAAGATAAGACCTCATTTGTGGAATATTCCACGAGTGAGGGGGAGTTGAGCCCATGCTGCTGACTTTTGTGTCCTAAGAAATGTTTCTTTGTTGGCAGGAGGAGTTTGGAGGAGGACAGGGAGCAGACTTCTCTCGACCAGGAGACCGCGATGCCATAAATAATCGGATGACTACCGAGTCGCATTATTCTTCTTATCGGTGCCTTTCCTCGAGAAGTGAACGAGTCGGGATCAACAAGTGAGAATGGACCCCGAGCTCTAGACCAGCATCAACCACCACCTGCACCACCTGCAACCTTGTCCACACCGTCCGCCCTTCCCCAGAGATGAGCGACTCGGACGGAGACGAGGACGTGAGTACATGATTACCAATCCCAAAATTAGTTGGCCCCCCAACAGCTCCACCCTGATTTCCTACCCGACCTTGTGAGCCAAGAAAAAGTCTCCTTTATGGCCGCGGAGATAATCTTGTCACCAGGTTGGTGACAAACCACTTGGTCCCAATACGGTGTGACCTTTGTAGCAGTGTCACTGGTCCGACTTTTCCCTCCTTGCTGGCCACGAGGAGGAAGGAGCTGAGCGTGGTGGGAGAATGAGGCAGATGGGAAAGTTTGAACAATAGGCGACCCATAAAAAATGCAAAGTCCACTCCATTCTCCCACCCGCCCGCTCAATGATGATGCCCCATCCATTACGATATTACGGTCCCGGAGTGTTTCTTAATGTTTCATGAGCCACACACGACTCGTGTGTGGTAAGTGGTCGCTTACTCCGGCCTCCTCCGCCATAAATACTACGCATCTCTCCAGCGAAAGTGATTGTTACTCTTTATTTTTTACTGTTATTGCAGCCATTCTACGATGCCGTGGAGTACTTGGCCAAGTAAGTTGTCCATAATGCACCCCCGCCGCTCCCCTCATTTGAATATTATTCTAATTCTCCCAAAGTGCACTCCACTACAGCACTTTCTCCACTAATTGAGACCAGAGGAGAGATGAGTATCTCTGCCTCGTTGTGTGTGAAAGTCGTCCCGTTTCACCCGACACGGGACGACACCTTCTTATCCAGCAGAGATTATGCTTCCTAATTACTCCGCCTCTCGAGTTGTCAGCCACTTTCATCCTCTTCATTGCGGAGATATGCGGACGGACATGCAGGGATGGAAATAAGACACGTGGGATCCTACCCTGCATGTACTTTTGGTCGATTTGAGCTCAACTTTCTCCGTAAACCAGTCAAATGCTTTATGTAGGGTCCCCGTCATAAGCGGACAATTATGTAGTCACGCATTTAGACCTGCTCATGGAAGATGCTTTTTTTATAACGAATCAAGTCCAGCCTCCCAGCAGCAGGACTTGATTACAGGGCAACCCCAAAACTACAAATGCGTGCGGAGGAATTCACTAAGGCTTCTAAGGGTGCTTCCCACCCACCTATTTTCAAACTTGTTCAATGTCTCAAGGACCAACCAATACTGTCACAACTTACAAAGTGAACAATTTTGAGCCGGAAAAGAGGCTCCTCCTGGGAGGAATTACACATTTTTAGCTCTACAATTACCAGAAACGATTACAAAGTATTGATTATATGACTTTTATACGGAGTATTTGCGAAAAATAGCATACTGCCGTTAGAAATCTTAACGGACCTAAAAATTTATGGTTTCTGGGTTGGTTTTACACGTAGGCAATTGTTTTTGACGGAGTTTAAAGAAATATGTATGGCATGTAATGATAAGCCCACATATGTAATTTTGATGTGTTATAAGGAATAAGGATTGCAATGTATTTAGGAATTGCCACGTGATTACCATGTCTGGTCCGCGTACACAGTAGTCGTGTTCTTGGAGTGTGTGGCGTAAGGCCGCATTGCTCGTTTTGTCCATTCTCCCCGTCATTTCCTTACTTTCTTTTATTACCAACAAAAGTTTTCCTTTCTTTTCTACGAATTTGGGCAATTTTCTCATTTTTTCCTCGCTCCCTTGTTGCCATACAAGTGGGAACGCATAGTAACGATCTCAGCTGGATAAAAAGAACAACATTCACCGAGAGTTATTAATTAGGATTTAGAATCCAATTAATTTGCTCGTGCTTAAAATTCCTCGTTTTTCGTGTTGCTCAATAAATGGTGTGAAAACTGGTAGAGCGGGGCCGATGGACTTGGGGACGGGGATTGAGGAGTCCAAACTGGCCATCAGCCTCTTCATGAACAACAGATTTGCAGAGGCGAGAGCGCTACTAAAGCCATGGTAAGGAATTGGGGGGATAAGTCCCCCGCAGAATTTAGTCCTCGTGGCTTAATTTGGCGGGTAATATTTGATTTCGAAATTTATCCGGCAGGGCGGACGAATCAATGTATCACGCGTTGGGTTACGGCGTTTTCGAATTTTTAGAAGCTGTCCTCACCTTTGAGCAGGTGAGATATCGACACAAGGGTCCTATTTCTAACGAACAATTGATTTTGTCAAATTTTCTCACTTGATGAATTGCAAAAATTTATGCAAACGGAGTGAAAACAGTTTTCTCGCAACTCAGGATTGCGTAATACTACAAATAGAGCCTTTCAAACGAATATAAAAAAGTAGCGTCGAACGATTTAAATTTCCTTTAAAATGAAAATGACAACACATATGACAATTGTGTCCTTCTGACCTTTGACCTCGTCGCCAGGCGAATGACGCCCAAAATATTGACGGCGTTGAAATCGTGGTGAAATTCCCTTTAAATAACACCCCTTTAATATGAAAATTAAGGTTAAGTTTAATTTTGAACCACGCCCCCTAGGGCAATGGGGGATGGTCCGATTGACCCAATTTTCGAACTCGACCCAGAACAAAAAATTAGAAGCATAATGTCGAAAACGCCGATTGATTATGTTGACTCGTTCTGGAGATATCCTGCTTATGGACGGACAGACGGAGGGACGGACAAAACGACCACAATAAGTAGTTGACGCTACTTAATAACAAATTAATCACATGACTAAACGTTGCGTCAGATCGACTTTCCCCATTTGCGCCACGTATTAGAGAGCTACTCAAGGAAGCAGTGATTGCATTCCAGGCTGAATTCCTCACTAACTACGACTTGATGATGATGATTATATGAATTGATATTTTGGTACGAATTTCCTGGCAGCAACACATCGAGTCCGCGGCGGAGACGTTGGAGCAGTCGGTGCAGGTCTGTAACAAGTTTCGGAAGAAGAACTCGATGTACGAGTCGCTGGGGAAGATTGTTCGCCGGCCAAATTACGACGCTCTGACAGAAGGTGAGGAAAGCAATCCATGAAATTTAATCGAGCCAGGTGGCTCATCCTTTTAATTGGAAATGGTCGTGTCGAGATGCGATTGTATTCTCACCACCACCACCACCGACTCCCGCCCGCTCTTGTAATTGCACACCACGAGAACATGGGTCCACAATTACTACTTGTGTCCTTGCCTCGTAAATAGTCTGCATTTCAGTGGTTTCTGACCTGCCAGGGGCGGAAGTGGAAAGCAATATCCGTGTCAATATCAGGGCAAAATTTGAGTGCCCATTTCCACTCTTTGACCAAACCAAGCTGATTTTTTAATTCGGAGGTTCCCCCGCAATTCTTCCCCTTTTTATTAAACCCAGCTGTACACGGTGTACGTACATCACAGGATTTCTTACTTTGTCTCCTTTTTTATCTATCTATGTATTGTGTAGAAAAAGCTTAATACAAAATCTGTAATTTAGCGAATTCCTCATTTTTTGTCGCAAAATTCCGCCACTGACTTTTGTGTCTGGCTGGTGGTATGCTGTTCATCTCTTGTTTTTGGTCGTGGAGTGGAATAGTGATCCTTTGTTTGATTTGATTACAGAGGAGATTCACGCCGAGCTGTGTTACGCCGAGTGCCTCCTGCTAAGGGCCGTCCTAACTTTCATAGAGGATGAAAATCTCATTAGTTTCGTCAAAGGAGGACTCCGAATGCGATCATGTCTTAAATGTTATAGGTGAGACTCGTCCCAAAATATCCTCCGCCGTGGCAGTGGCGCCATGCACATTAGGCTTCGATACAAGAGGGAGGGGCTTCACCTCACACAGCCCCTTCTTTTTGGAGGCCCACCTTTCCGCACCCCTTCACAAGTAGATAGACTCAAGGGAAGCGTGGGGGCTTGCATTTTCCTTGAGCACATCCTTCGCGCGCGGCCCCTTTGCTTGAACGCCTTTGATGAACGCCGTTGATGACAATGACGACGAGAGCGTCGAAATAATAATTGCGTTACTTTCCCATTTTACAGAGAATGTTGGAACATTCTACGCTACCGGAATTGGGACGGATCCTTGCACAAAGACCATTTCGAAAGTGGTGGGTTCCACAATTTGCGAAAAAAACAATCTGGATCGTTTTGTGTTAGAGATTGGAGTTTTTTTATTTTACTTTCTAGGTGTTAGGATGGGAGTGGGAGCGTATAATCTGGTATGCAAATTAAGTTATGGTTAAACTATGAGAAGATGCGACGAAGACATACTTCACTTCAACCATTTATGTCTCATTTTTACATATTTAGTAATCGCAATTACTTTAAACGGTTTTTGCAAAAAAATATCTCATATAATTCTAAATTTAATTACACCATAGAAAGCATTGTAAATATTAATTGACACTAATTTCCCAACTTACAGCTAATATCCATGCTACCTGCGAAAATTATGAAACTTTTAGAGTTCATTGGATTTTCTGGAAATCGGGTGAGTTTCTTGAGAAAACATTGTAAATATTTTGATATCGAGTGGGATGGAATTTTTGCATGAAAATAATACATCCATTTCTGCTACTCGAATTTGCAACTGTGTCCATAATACGTTTTTCTCTCTTTCTTTCTTTCTCTTGGTGCTTTCATGCTGTTTGCGTATTAGGACGACATCAAGGTAAAGTACGGGATGGGTGGATGGATGGATGAATAGATCACTTTGATTCGGATTCGATTGTAGTCGAGTTTAGAATTTAGATCGAATAGTTCACAGTTTTCGCTTTGTTGGCGTGATTTGAATGAGGGTCGGGCCTCCCATCCTCTCTTCCCACGTAGCCATAGCAACATCTTACTCTCCAAACCCTTTCCTACCAAATTTAGAGATAACGTCCTGGCTGGGCAATTTGTGCAAAAAATAACTCCCCCCTCCCTCCAACTTCTCTTGAGAGAGATTTTTCTCTAGAAAAATAGGTAAATTACGGGAACAATTTTACGAAAAACAACACATTAAGCTTTTAATGCTTTTTGTAAAGTTTAAAATTACCAGAGGATTCTTACATCTTTACATGAAAAGCGGCAAAGTTTTCAGCTTCAGGTTTTTCCACTTCTTAAAGTTTTTTTTAAACAATTACCCAAACTGTGGTAGAAGTTCATGTGCACGAAGTAGTAACTTTTGGAAATTTAAAATTTGTTAACAGATGTATTTTTGATGTTATTGTAGTAGCATTTCATCATCCTCATCGTGTCGTGGTTGTCTTTCTCGAGTTAAAATTTGATACTAAAGATGACACGACTTCTCTCTCGCTTTCTCCCGTTGCACAATTTATCTCTAATTTGCATTCAGCACGGGTCCAGAGATCCTATCGTTGCGAGGGTCGTGCAGAAAGGGTGCGAGCCACCTCTCGAGAAGTGCTCTTCTTGATGACAATGAGGGTTTTGTCCTCTGAAAAGGGGGACGTCGCATCCTTTCCGCATGTCGTGGTGTTGTTGTTATTTGAGTTGGAATGGGGTCTGAATGGTGATGTTGTTGGTGTTGCAGGAGACGGGGCTGGGGCAGCTGCACTTGGGTTGTGACCTGGCTGGATCCTTGCGCCAAATCCTGTGTAGCATGGTCCTCCTCGGCTTCCACTTGTTTGTCAGCTATGTCCTCGGCTATGGCGATGGCGACCTCGTTCTCGCCGAAAGACTTATCAATCAGCAGCTCTCGGTACGTTTCACTGAGAAAAAGTATGTTGTCAATATTCCAGTTTCTTTTAGGAATCGCCTCGAATGTGTTAATCTGAGTAGAAAATTCCAATTTCAATTCTTTTAACCGATGTATTCGTTGTCGAAGAAATAGGGACTTTATTCAAGAGAAAGACAAAATTTTGTTAGAGATCCCCATCTTTCTAATTATGACATTTCTTCCCGTGGAAAACCTGTAAGAAATGCGCTAAAATGGAGCAAGCGAATAACCGGAATCTCTTTCCCTTCGATGCAAAATCAGCTAGCGTGGTTTGACCATGTCAATTTGTTAGTTAAAACGATATCCAAAAACCCGGTGGAATTTGAAATAGCTGAGAAATGTGAATGATAAATTGACCTTTGCGTGGTAAGAAGAGAAATAAAAATTTCAGAGTTTTCCTGACGGCGTGTGGTACAACTTTTTCAAAGGGAGGTTGGAGTACGTCAAGGGGAATGTGAATCCAGGTCTGCTTTTAATTCTGCTTGAGAGTTTGTTTGCCTTTGTGTATGCAATTTGTGGAGATTTATTTACCTATTTTTGTCCCTGGGCCTGTTTACCTTCCAGCGATTGAGTGGTACTCGAGGGCCTGGCAGTCACAAAGCGAATGGGTCCAATTTCACCATCTCTGCTACTGGGAGCTCATGTGGGCCAATTGGTGAGTCACGCTCTTCTCTAGGAAACTTTGCTAAATCAGAATTTACTCGATATGGCGGGATAAGGCTAAATATTGCCAAAATCTAGGAACACAAAAAAATTATTTTACTGTATTCCTAAGCTACTCGATCAGTCAGCATATGTATGCATGCATTTCTAATTTTGTTCCCCTTTGTGACACAATATTCACACAGTTCACAACCTTTATACATAGATCCCAAGTTTCCAAATTTTATAAGAAAAAACTTGCACACTTTTCACCATGAAACTCATCCCCGTGTATTTTTACTTTGCAAAATAATTTTGCTTTTGGAAAATAACCCTGAGTACGTATGCATACGTATGCATACGCACTAATCAAGCTCTGTATATGTATTGATCGTGAAGTGGTGGTTTTGTTGGCAATAATTCTGCATGCAATATTTCTCTCCAGCTTTAAACAAGACTGGATCTCATCTCGGGACTTTGCTGATCTGCTGTTACACGAGAGCCGGTGAGTTAGTCCTAGAAGCGTTCTGGTCCTCGAGGGCCGTTCATTAATTGCGTGTCGCGTCGTACCATGCCACATGCCACTCAAGAATTGAATTCTAAAATCCGCGTCTGAGAATAAGAAATCCATTTTCTAATTTGGACAATCAGGAAAATTATTTCATGTCCACAACGGGGAGGTCGAGCAGGTGTATTTGTTCCATGAGTATTGGAACCGCACGGGAAATAACCCATTCAAACCCTGCCTGCCCCAGAGCCCATGGTAAACGTTGGTTAGCCCCATAGTTGGAGGGTCTGAAAATGGGCGATTTTTGCGACGACGCCACATGAACGGTCCGTCGTAGGATGATTATTATTATCACTCTTGAGACAAATCCTTTTCGTGCAAGTTTCGAAAGGCTGACATGAATTTATTGACGAGAGGAGCGGCGAAGCAGAGGGTGAAATTTGGTCTTGTTGTAGGTGGTCTCGTACGATTTACGGCTACCAGAAAGCCTCCTTCATGTGCATGATGTCGGAAAAGTTGGGTCGCTTCGAGACCGCCGAACTCCTCCAGTTGTTCAAGTAAGTTTTTCCTAAAGCTCCACATGTATATTTCATCCCCGGCCTGTCAGTCCCCCTCCTTTTAATGCACTCCTCTCTGCCCCACACATCTCCTCTCTGCCATCCCAAATTGCAACAAAAGTGCATACACACCACTGTTTCTCTGCTTTTTTCGTACTTCAAATTGGATCCTAAATTATTTCCAAGCAGTAAAATTTTATTTTCGCTGCACAAAATTTAATCATGGATTAAAGTAGAATGTAAACGCAAAAGACCCGCAAAAGATATATTTTTTGCCAGATTCTAAGACCAAAATTATTACAAATGTGTGTACAAAAATAATTTTCTGCCTACTCGATCAGTGAGCATACGTATTTCCAATTTCATTCGAGTTGTGCCATTTTGTCTGTTCCGTTTTTGGAGTAAACTTGCATTTAAATTTCTCTCTAATAACGAAGAAAGCAAGGTTTTTGAGGGGAGACTTAGAAATCCGCCTTAGACTTAGAAAGTAGTGCGTACTCTGGCACCAAGGACCATGTGGTGCGTGCATAGGAGTGGGAGACGTTGGGAGAGTGGTGTTGCTTTCTCGGCTGGATGATGATGATGGGTTGATCCGCTCTTCGTCTTTCTCTCTCCAATGAATTGTTGATGATGTGATGAGTTTGTGTGTTTGTGAGTGAGTGAGTGAGTGAAAGTCCGCTTCCTCCTCCAAAACTAAGCCGGGGGACGTGCAGAAAGGACACGATCCACACGAATTTGTGCCCCTTATTCCACTCGCCTCCCCTTCTCTGAGGTCATGGAGAGTGACGCTCCCCCAGGGCCAACAGTCCGCACCCTTTCTGCACAGACCCCCTGCAAAAAAGGACGACATGCATCCTTGTTTCAGGGATATTCCTGGCTGGAAGCAGCGGATTGCGGGCAAGTCGATTCCTATGGAGAAATTCGCCGTCAAGAAATGTGAGCGATTCTTTGCTCAAGGAAACAAATTAATTCTCCCGGCCGTGGAGCTCCTCTATTTGTGGAACGGCTTCAAAGTTCTTGGCAAACAAGGGGACTTGGTCCGGCCGCTGCTCGCCCTCGTCGAGAGGCATGTCAGAGACCTCGCGAGAGAAAAAGGTAAAGCCGGCCTCCCTAATTCCTAATTCCAACTTTTACAACCTGTTTTCTACTCATGAGAGAAAAAGGACGTAAATCCAGACATTAAATGTCCGGATGAACTATTTACATACATGCATTGGGTAATAAAACTGAAAAAACACTCCATGGAACCGGAGGTATAATTTATGACGACCAGCCTGGATTAGTATGCCTCAAAGTGCATCACGTATTTAAATACTAGTTCAGCAGTAGGCACAAACTGGGTTCATAAACAGCAACATGCTGGCCTTGCAACCCTGAAATGCCTTAGTGCCTCTCATCATTCATTAGTACGTATTATTCACTCAGAGGTGAATTCATAAAGTTGCCTTGTGGGAGAGGTTAACGGACTCGTGCTTGGTCTTTTTAGATGGCGGTGGGGGTTTTTACGTGGACAACTTGTGCCTCCTGCTCCTCCTGCGGGGCATGTGTTTGCGCTACTTGGACCGCGTGGGTGAAGCAGAAGCGGATTTTCTGGGGGTCATCGCGTACGAGAAGCAACTCCTCCACGACGCCTACCTCGTCCCGTACTCCACGTATGAACTCGCCATGTCGTACTGGTCCCAGGGCAACACCCAAGGGGCAGAAGTCACCTTGGAAAACGCCAAGTAAGTTCTCAACCATTTCTGAACGCCTGGACGCCGCCCTTGGTGAAAAGCTGTGACGAGTGCCATTTTGAGCGTAAATGTGCATGTCTTTGAGGGTGGTTGGTAGCTGTGGTCGCAATAACCACATATGCACCAATGGCAGCTCAACTCTTTGTGTCCAAATACGTGACAGTAAAATCGGTCAAATTTGAATCACGGTTTCATTCCTGAGGATAACCTTTACATAAGACTTTTAGCCGTTGCACGATTCGATAAGATAACTGTGCAGTGCTTACATTTTCTGTGGCCTTATCTATTTCAGAAATAATTACAAAGGATACGCGCTCGAGTCTCGGCTCCATTTCCGCATCCACTCCGCCCTCTCTGAACTCCGCGCCAGCCGATCGGTGGGACAGGCTGGAGGGACGACGTCCAACGGGCGAAAGACTTCGGTCCCCTTCCTTTGAGGGGAACAGGCCTCATCTAAATTATGCTCATGTAGAGAGCGACCCTGCACACCGGGTGGCAGGGATTTTGTCTCCACCGAATCCCTACTCTCCATTTCAGCAACCTCTCTATTTCAGCACTTTTAAACTCTCCAGCATCCCAGAAATCTTATATCAAACAGAAAAGACATTCAGATAACTACGCAACGACGCAATAATAAACTGTGAGTACACTTCTTGGCAAAGTTTAAAGATTCTATTTTACGGGTTGTTTTGCGATGCGAGTCGTATGGCATTATTGCAACAGTGTTTAGCTCGAGCTGGGTAATAATGATGTCATCTATTACTACTGCTATTTGAATTTGTAAATGCTCTGCTCCGATATGGGGCGTGCACATGGTGCGTGCCTTGGTGGACAAAATAGAGATTTCTACACTTACAAATTGTGGTAGTACATACGTACTCTCTTACACCATATTAAACCATACGTATATTAGAGATGAACCTGCTGGCTTGGTGGTCGTGGTCGTAAACCCCATTGGGCATAAATTGGCACGAAATACGGCAAAATTTTAATTTGTTCTCCATCCAGGCCAAATCATGATCCAGTCGACGAATAACTAAACCTTTTCGGAAATAGTTACTTGAACTTGGTAAAGCCACGTGGGCGACGGGATTTTTTGTCCGTACGGTGTGGATGGACCTTGACATGTACATACTTAGAGTCAAACTGGTCTCGAGGCAGGCTGTTTTGCCCATGCATAAAAGCCCGTCAGTATTTCGTGGAAAGTGAAACGACCATCATTCCAACAGAGCCAAACGAGACCTCGTTACTTTCGCAAAATAAATGTATCCACCACGACTTTACTCTCTCCTTCGGACCCTGCGGAAAGAATGACTTCAGGCCCCTCAAGTCGTCGTACGTTAGTTCGAGCGTTGGGTGACCCTTTAGTGGGTCAAAATTCACGAAAATTGGTCACACAATTTATGCCGGGTCACTCGAGAGATAAGCTTTATGCTTAAAGCCTAGACTTCAACTACGAGGCAGGGTTCCGGAAATGCGTTTTTTTAGATACAGAAATTGTATAATTTTACACCATATTTTTTAAATTTGGACAAAACTATTGATATGACAGACAGATATGTGACATGAAAAACAAGCTTTGCAAGCTTTGTCGAAAAAAATAAGCCCAATTTTGGGCTGATTTTGTTTTTCGATTTTGGCTCAGGATAGCTCATAAAATTTGTACGGTTACAAAGTCGGCGTTAGACCGTGTGAATACCTAGAAACCCTCTGGTGCTGCATAAAGTACACAAATTAGTCGTTTGGCCAGTGATGTAGCAAATATGCATTCCTATATTTTTCTGTGTTGTAAGCGTATATTTTATTGAAAAAGAAAATGTCTATGTATCGTCGCGGATTTGATAAAAATGGAAAATTCCTTTATATTTTAAGCTCAAGAAAAAACTACTAAACGTATAATAAGACAGACTACGTGTTTTCTCTAATTAGTAAAAATGAATGAAAAATAAAGAAATGTACAAGAAATCATGACAATATTGTATATTAATTATTTATTCTGAAAATTTGGCCCAGAAAAGTCATAATTTGAACATTTTTGAATTATATGTACCACATTCACAAATTTGCACATTTCTTATACCCTCGCAGATTCAAAGTGCCCATAAATACAGCACATTTCGCACGTTTTTTATTAAGTCGCGAAATCACCGCATTAATTCATCCTCACGCCAGTAAAGAAGCCGCTGTGGAATTGTTGCGTAATAAAAATAAATAAACTCCCCCGTTTTTTGGGAATAATCGAAAAATCTTTATTCAAAGTCGGTATGAAAAGGTTCATAAATTTATTACGTAATGTAAATTAGCACATTTTGTAAATCCCCCATTTTCCACGTCCCTGTAGAATTTGTTACATAAAGTGGCACATTTTTACAACTTTGACAAAAATCTGATTCCAAAGTGCCCATTACGACGTTACCCAATCTCTTATTGTTACATAATCATTCCTTCTAAACATCCTACTTTCTTGATCGAGTAGAGAGTAGTGTGTCTATCAGGACGCGGTGTGAATCGCAAGTGGCAACTGCTCACTAAAAAATCACGAACTCCCAACTTTCCCCTCCTTCTCTGCCGCAAGTTGGGCTTCGCAATTTGTGGTGCAGAAATGCATGGCGGAATTGCACGGAGAGAGTAAACACCATGCAATTTACCCGTGGACAATATATTTTTGTGACAAATATGTAATATCTGCGCTACATAAGATATGTGCATGAAATATGGGGTAAAGAACTCCATGAAAAGGGACCTTATTCATACTTTGCTCATTTTCTACAAACGGCAAAATATCAATACAGAAAACTTTTTGTCAAAAAGCTGAATTGGCGAAATCAACATTAATGTTCAGCATTCCACCTCAAATTTAAAACTTCAGGTTGTACAGGCTTGCTTTACCTAATAAAAATAAAAAATTTGCGCCTTGACCTTTTTCAGGACCTTAACGTGACCTAGACACTTACCCTCGGGCGATAAACCTCATGCAAATTTAAAACTTAAGGTCATTCAGGCTTGTATTGGCCTATGCAAATCAAATATTAGCCCCATATGAGCTACAATATTAAATTTTAAAACATTGTTCTAAATTTAATCAGTATGAACATTTTCGCCAAAAGGTCGTTTTGCCATATTGTCGATGCAGCAATTTGAATTTAAATAACTTTACTTGCAATTGACAGATTGAGCTGAAATAAATGACAAATTAAAGCCTGAGGCAAGAACTTTCCTAACAAATTAAAGTCGCTAAAGTAGATATTTGGTGAATAAAGTCCCTTTTCATGGAGACAGTCACACATGTGGTAAAGAACTCCATGCACACAGCGTAGCCTCATTTGTAGCGATCTTTTACAAAGTGGTGACACAATGGTGCACCAAATTCTACCGAGCGTAAACCACTGCCTGCAATACCCAATAAGTGACAATTTGTTACCAGATTAGTCATCCTCGGTAATATTCTTGCCAGTAAATTGTTCATGATTAGACTCCTTTCACCACCATGCACTTCAAGTTTACACTTTTGTAAAGGTAAGTTACTCCAATTCAGTTGTTTCTGTTTGTAGCAAATTTGAATTTCGCGGTATGCTAACCGCACCCTATGACCCGGGCCGCGAAATGTGAGGAGTGCTGGAAGAGCAGGGAGTGAATGTAGTCGGAATTTTGGACAGGATTGGGTGGAATATTTGTTCACATTTCTGTAAGAATTTATCTTTCCCGTCTCTCTTTCTCTTTCCCTGTTGTGGAAATATTTCCTCGAGAAAACGCCGTTTCCTCTCTCTCTCCTCCTGAAATTCCTTTTGTACACATTGGCCCCGTGCCAGCATGCATCACAATCGATGGGGCAGCAGCACATCTCCAAGAAGAACATGCTCCTTAAATGGGACCGAGGCCAGGCCACCCGCAAAACCAAACCAGCCAAAGATAAAGTACTCCTCGGATAACTTTCACCCAAAAGTTAGACATATGAACATATGCACAAAACCCTCGTCTCAATTCAATCCCTGCTACGTCTCACTCCAAGCCTCGAGTTCAGGTGGGTTCAAAAAATCAAAGCATGCGGGATAACTCCTGTGTCTACAGATTAGTCAAACTTGGTGTCAAAGCCGTTCACACCCAGACTTTTAAGGGCACGCCAGGATCATGGCGAACAATGGGACGCATTGGGTTCGAAAAGTTGGGGGAGCCATGGCAAATGTGCATCAAGTAAGACGCATTTGAAACATTTGACAACCCCGTTTTTACGACCATGGGCTTGCTTTCGAGGGGTCAACTTTTTTAAATTGAGGTCGATTGATCACTTTCGTGCGTGTCGTGTAATTACAAAAGCACGGAATAGGTCCCAGCACCCTTCTTTGTTATCAATTCGGTTCGATTTGTGGAGACAACTGGGGCTTTCTTACCAATAAATTATGCTTCCCTAATTTTGAAGTGATATTTATTGGTTGTGTGGGCACGTGTGAGGAAGTCGCATACGTGCAAATTTATTTTTAAGAGTGTGTCGATGTTGACTTTCTCTGCTTTCTTTCTCGTCCCGACGTTGCGAGAGAAAGTGAAGAGCTTGCCTTCTCTCCGTCATTTCTTCTCAACCTCACAATCTCCTCCTCCGTCGAGATAAGGATGCGGATCCAGGATCGCTTTCTCCTCCAGAAAGTATTTTGACGTAAAAATTGATTTTTATTAAGTGTTCCAGAGGCCTGAGCAGTGCCCGCGGAAGCTGTGGCGACATCTGGGGACATTAACATTGCAGGATAGGGAAGGAGGGGTTTATATGACATGGGGAGATGGGTGGGATATCGAATAACCGTGGGGACATTGTTCCTCTGTCCCCACGCTTCCGCGGCCACTGGGCCTGAGATTGCGAGAATGATGGAATAGGGCGAATTAGAAGAGCTCCATTTCATCTCTAACTTAACCCAAATCCTTAAAATATTTATTTGCGACCAGTTCTTACCAAAAGTTGTTTACCAAACTTCCCCCCAAAAAATCGAATTTGGCCACATGACCACCACCGTGGTCACAACTTGACCACCTCCAGATGTGATGCATTAGTTTGGGTGAAAGTTGGCATTCTGCTGCCGTGCTTTTTCCTGGGCGGAGTGGAGCAATCTAGTTATTCATCATCCCGCAGTATCGCCAACTGACCACATCAGTCTCTCCTCGTGCTTGCGGAGGAGCGCCATTGATTCCAAGTCTCCGTTGCTGGCTGGCCTTTGGAATGGGAGTCGGAGTGGCGAAGGGTCCGACGTGGTGCACCTGCGAGAGTGGCGATGCATTTAATCTAGAACGGAGAGGATACAAATCTGACAGAATAATTAATGACGGAGAGTGCCCTCCTGTACTCCATTCTACGCACTACTCCTCCTGCTGCCACGTCGCCATGCCTCATCCCAGCAGCCACCCAGCCAGGCATCACAGGCAAGCTTGATAACCAAAGGACCGATAAACTGTTCTCCTTCGCTGCTCCCACCAGCTCCTTCTCCCTCGTCACGGATCGCTGCTCAGTCTCCAGTGCTCCCCACTCCACCAAATCCCAATCACCTCCACAATGCTTCAAAACGCCATGATTTACCCACTCCGAATTTGGTCAGAGCTGATGGCATTGCAAGACGTCGGAACATTTAACCCGGGTTGCACATACTCGAAATTGGGACAAATTTAATGTCTAGATCACAATGAATCTGTTTCCAAAGAAATTTGTACTAACCAATCCTTCCAAACAGCATTGGTTAAACTATTCACCGTCATCGATTCCTAATTCCTTGGAAATTATTGACCTTATTTTGCAAGAAATTCAGTGCGTGTGTGGATAATTTTATATATTTGGGAGTCACAATTTCGCACAAATTTGCACCCGAGTCGTGTTAAAATGTGGAATGGAACCCTGCCGACCTGTAGTTTCACTTGGTGCTTAAAAAACTTTCTCTTTGCCAACTAATGCATTAATTCAACCTTACATTTACTTGACATATTTTCTGCCTGATTTTGGAGAGAGGAAAAATTCCATCAATTTAAAACTCGACTTGTTTGGTCTCTGGAGAAATTTAGAATAAATTCAAATCTCGCGCACTACCACCACTTTTCGTATTAAATACCTTTATGTAAACGATGCCAGTTAGTTGGGTCACCCGGGAGCGGGTGTGATAGACACAGGTGGGCAAGTAAGGAAGGCACATGCTGAGTGAAACACCGATTTTCGGACCCTGCCCCCAAACACCCCAGACTTCGGAGGACAGGGAGTGGACGAATCATGTGTTTTATGGGGGCCCGTGATCGGCCTTGTATTCGTGTCTATTTACTCTGCTTTCTCACACCAAATCCCACATCGGATTAAAATCTGACACGGGAAATGAATAAGTGTTCGAATCTCGTGAAACGAATCCATCTCTCCGATACTCTCGAAATGAGGAGGTAAAAAATTGGTGCCATGGTAACGGTTTCCCAGCCAATTGTTAACCCCAGAGAGGCTCAAAATTGTCATCCTCTATAGTGAAAAATTGTTACCAGTTTCGTCTCAAATCGTTGCTAAGCTTCAGACGTGTGGAATCAGCCTGTGTGAAGTTTAACAGGTTTATGGTGCAGTGAAGGTTAATACCATGGAACAAAATACATAAAGTGGGAGAAATTACAGGTTGCGACTGGATAAAGGAATCGTCCTGGGTGTGGCAACCCCCTGATTTTTACACGCATTTCAATCTGGGGCATATTAACTGGGGAAATGTGTGGAGAAGGAGTGGCTGAACTGTGGCCAGGTGACCACCCCCAATTGCGCCGATTTTAAACTGCCCCCACGTCTGGGAACGCTGGTGGTTGGAGAGGCGGGAGAGACGGGAGAGACGGGAGGAAAAGTATATTGCTTTGATGGTGGGGGGATAATAAAGAGTGGCTGTGTGGCAACAAGAGTGATTTGATTGGAAGAAATGGACTTGGCGAGTGTCTAGTTAGCCGAGAAGTTGGTCTGTGGAGGAAGAGCGAGGAGACGAGGA